GTTTCTGTAGATAAATCTGCTGCTGTTCTAATTGGTCTTCCATGGTAGGTGATCTGGCTTTTTTCTCTTGCTGCCTTTAGTATTTTTTCTTTTACACCTACTTTGTTTAGGCGATTTATTATGTGTCTGGAAGTTGGTCTTCTCATTTGTTGTCCTGCAGGGGTTCTCTGAATCCCTTGTGTGTGAATTTTTGCATCACTAATACAATGAGGGACGTTTTCTTCAATGATCTCATGGAATGCTTGTTCCAAGGTGGTTTTTGTTTCTCTTTCTGTTTCAGGAAGGCCAATTACTCTTAGGTTCTTTCTCTTCTAGTAATCGCTCATCTCATAAAGGTTTTGTTCTGTCTTTTTGAGCTTGTTTTCTGTGTTTTTAACAGTTTGGGTTAGTTCTGTATTCTGGTACTCTAGCTCTGAGATTCTTTCTTCTGCTTGACTAATTCTGCTTTCCATACTTATCAGTTTGTTATTTATTTAATACACAGTATTCTTTATTATTTTTATCTCGGTTATCAACTCCTTCCTAGTTTCTTCTTGTCTCTCTTCAATCCTTTTTAATCTCACCATTAATGTCTTGATATCTAGGTTTGTGGTTTGAGACCAGTCATTCTGGGGGCTCTTAATTGTTTGCATTCTGAAGTCAGTTTTCTCACTGTCTGCCCTCCCAGGGGTCTGGGAGAGACCCATATTCTTCTTTTGGTTTTTCTTCATTTGTGTAGATTTTTCTCACTCTCCCCCTTTCCCTCCCCTTATTTAATTCTGTTTTTCAGGGAAGGTGTGGTTATTTTTGCTTTGCTTGTGCAATCTCCTGTTCTTCCTTATGAGGGTCCTCTGGTTTTGTTCACTTTTGAGGCTAGAGTGTGGGTTGCAGGCTGTACTTTTTGCAGTTTTGAGGTTTAATTGAGGGGGAAGCTGTGATTCAGAATCTATCTGCTGATTCCAGCATCCACCAACAGGTGTATGGGTATACTGGAACATATTTTCCACTGCCTTACAATCTGTCTATGCAGCAGGATATAGGTTTGGTCCCTGGAACAAAAGGAGGTATGATAGAGGAAATTAATTGAGGAAGGGGGTGTCAATAGGAAGTTAGAAAGAGAGATGAGTGAGAGAGAAAACAGACATACATACCAACTAACAGGTGAAAAAGAGACACAGGGCCAGAGAGAAGTGAAAAGACACATAAGCAAAATTCCCTAAAGCATACTGGTAACAACACAAAGACAGTCCAGTAAAATCTTGCCTTTTGATGCATTTTCCTCAACACAAACAGATAGTCTAAGTCAAAAAGCAAACAAAAGTGAGCAAAACAAACAGTCAAAATGATAAAATCAAAAATCAAAATAAGAAATCAGACTAGCTCTGGACTCTTTCCTGAGTGTCTAAAGTCTTTTCAGCTCTGATCTCCAGCCTCTCCCCTTTACTTTCATTGCAGGCAGCTAGATTTGCTAGCAGTTTGAGTTTGTCCTTTTAGCCTGCTACCTGAGAGGTCTGCAACGCTCAGTTGCCTGCATCTGATTCATCATAGGGAAGGGGATTTGTGTCCTGTTTAGTGATGTTACCTTAGGAACTGAGGTGGATGCTGCTCCTAGGTGGGCAGGGCAATATAAATCTCTGCCTGGAAAATGGCCAAGGTGGGCAGCTCCTCTTTCACAGATCATTTCTCTCTGCTTGTCTGGGTCCCTGGGCAATTGACTATGATGGGCTGTGGTGGCGGGTGAGGCACCGGGGATCAGTTGCACAGTTGGACACTGGATCTGGTGTGCCACCAGCAGGCTGGGATGAAGGATGAAGCCGGGAGTTCCCTCCTCTGGAGCTGAGAGCCGCCAATCAGCACCTCCTTAACATATGCTGTTCCCTTACACAAGCATGGGTGTGCCCAGAGCTCCAGAGTTCCAAAGGGCAGGTGGTGAGTTGTGAGAGTGGCTTTAGGCCCCTCACAGGGTACTTCAGCCAGAAATGGAGCTGGTATCTCTGAGGGACGGGTGCCTAAAGTCTCCCTGGGTGACTGGCAGCTTGGTGCTGGGTGCTGGGTGAGATGATGTAGCCAAGGAGGGAGCCAAGATTTGAGATTCCTACACGGCAGGCAGGGGCCACATATAGTGGAGCTGCAGCAACCAGGGGCTGCAATATCCGGCCCTGCATGGGACCGAGGGTCCCTGGGCCTCAGACCGGTGCAGCTGGCGGTGGGCAGGGTGTGGGGGAAGGAAAGAAAGAGTCTTTTTGGGAACTCATGTTTGGAGAATCTCGCAATTCCACCTATGCTATCGCCATCTTACTGGAACCCCCTTCTCCACATTCTTACCAACATCTGTTGTTTCTGACTTTTTAATAATTGTCATTGTGACTTATGGAAGATGATAGCTTGTGATTTTAATTTGCATTTATTTGATGATTAGTGATTTGAGCATTTTTTCATATATTTGTTGGTTGCTTGTATGGCTTCTGTCAAAAAAAATCTGTTCATGCCCTTTGTCTACTTTTTAATATTTTTTCTTCTTTCTCTATTAAGGAGTTTTTCATGTTGTGTTGTTGGGGTTTTTCATAAGTTCTGTATATTAGCCTTTTGCCTGATTCTGTTTGCAAATATTTTCTCCTATTCTGTGTGTTGTCTGTTAACTCTGTTGATAATTTCTTTCTCTGTGCAGAATCTTTTTAACATAATTGGTTTCATAATAGAGGTCTAAGTAAGATATTATATGAACATATAATAGTAATTTTAAACCTTGGGTAAACATTAGGAACATCCAGCAGGGTGCCAATGTTTTTGTTTTATGGCCAAAGATTTTTGTTTTTCTTGGGGTGGACTCAGATTCATGGGTATATATACATTAGACAAATATAGAGTTGAGACAGATACTCAGGCCTAAAGAATGACTCATCACATAGCTATAGACAGTGCAAAGATGTTGCAGTGGTAACTGATGACTTTTAGACTTCCAACAATATCATTTAGTAGCCCAACAATGATTGCTGAGGAAAGTCATTGATCCAGATGGAGGAAGGAAAGTATTGGTTAAGAAATGGAAGAATGGGTAGTTTGGTATGATAACTGAAGCTAGAAGAGAGCTGATACCTTGAGAGAAAATGGAGGGGTAAAGAGATTGAATAATCTGAATACCTACACAATTGAAGAACAGGTAGAGTGGGAATAAAAGAATGAGAAGCATGGGATGCAACCACAAAATGGGAACCTGGAGTTGTAGATTGCATAAGGGAAAACAGTTCTAGGTGTTGATGAATTTCAGGGTGTGATTTGGGCATCAGTTGCTAAAATGGTGTGAAGAGAAGACCAGGAAACTATAAAGTGGCAAATTGATGGGTCATCCACAGGAACATTGAAGTTACCCAAAAGTGGCAGAATTGGGGAGAATATAGAATAACAATTGCAGAGGTCTGACTGAAGGCAAATTTAACACATACTGAGAGACAAGGAACAATAAAACATCAGAGAGGGTGGATGGGTCTTCTACGATTATCATGTTTTCTGTAAAGACAACTTATTGTTATCATTATCTTCAATTCAAATGGACTCAGTCATATACAAATGTGAGTGAAAATAACATTATAAAACAAAAGATAAAGATGTTGGAGATTATCTAGTATTAAATGAATTTACAATGCATCCCAATTATAATCAAAAGAAGTTTCTAAAATAGCTAACTCAATTTGTAAGTGTTTGGGAGGAAAATAGGGCAGTGTCATTATTTTGTGCCTTCTTGATCAGATCTCACCTTTACTGTGCTTCTGGCTGCATTGCTTTGTACATGCCATGAGTGCCAGAAAAAAGCACATGGAAATGGTTCTAAATATCTATAAATAGTAGCATGATAGATCAGATCAACTCTTGGTTTAAAAAGTTAGCAATTACTCAGGGTCACATCAGTATGTGTGGGAGTAGAGAAACAAAATGTGGGTTTAAACGTGCAGGGTGTCCCTGTAAAGCTTGTGTAAAGACTCTTTTGGGAAAATTCAAGAACAAAAAGTGACCTCATGCTTCATAATTGTCAGACTACCAAACAAAACATTTAGGAGTGATGCTAGGAAGGGCTAAAGGATTTGAATAAGTGACAGGCAGAGGGAACAATAAGAACTTGGCAAGAATATGGGTGGATATTAGCCCAGAGGTCACTGAGGGGGAGTTTTGCAGTGGTCTGAGGAGTGGAGAATTAAAAGGGAGAGGAAACATGTTCAGAGAACCATGGCCTTTGTCTTTCTGAATCACATTAACCAGGTAAGAAACTCCTGGTAGTTGCAGTTGCAGCAATGATAGCGCCAAAGCATGGGTTGAGCATAGTAGCATGCAATTGGCATTCTAGGCCCAGTTGCTCTTTTGGTAAGCGGGATTCCATGATTGAGTGCATTGTTAACATGCACACCAGATAGAAATACTAAAAATTAGTCTGATTACCTCAAATGAACTCATGTCCCACCTCTGTTGAGTCTGAACTTCTCCTCTGTCAATGGCTGGCTTATCTGGTCATGTCTACCACCAAATGACTCTTCTCTCAGTGATCTCACTGAAAAAATTACTAAGTAACTGCCAGAAGAAGAGATGCAAAGCATGACTGAGGAAAAATGTGTTAAAGAGAGATAACTCACACTAGGCATTCCAAACTCTCAGCAAACCTAATGTTCAGAAGAAACACTGATAGACTTTTTTTCCTTTCCTGCAATGGACACCCCTAAATGAGCTGATGGCTCCTGCCTACCAATTAAAACTTAACACTACTGCCAATGGACAAGCTCTTTTTTTGTTTCAGAGTCCATCAGTCTGGTGAACCTGAATATGCAAATTAATTGAGTGAAAAGTTGAACTACGGGAATGGTAATAATATTTTCAAGATATCTGGGAACATAATTTGTAGCAATAAGAATAAACAATCACATTTGTTTGATTCAATAGAAAGGCATAAGCTTTTCTACAGATAATGAACAAGATTTGAACAAGATTCAGGTCCAGAGTAAAAATAACCTTCTAACATAGGCAGCTTCACTTACCCTATGAAAGTCATACACTTTTTCTGCAAAAAGACCATTGACAATGCTGAGATCATAATTCTTGTGTGATGCATTTATATCTGAGAGAACTCTTTTCAGTTGAAACTGGAGTCCAGGCTGTTATTAAAAAGATGTATAAAAATTTATTCCTGGACTGAAAAGATATGCATAGTCTTATTTACACATGAGATAATAAATATATATTGCCACAAAAGAATTAAAAATTCTACAGAAACAACAAACAAGGCCATATACACGTATAATACAATGTCTTACCCTTTCCCATAATAGTGTCTGTTATCAAACAAAATAATTTACTAAATAATAATTAATCTTGGCATAAAAATGTTAACAGTACATCATGAATTTGCGTAATATGTGTACTAAATAATTAATTATACCAGTATAAGTTGTCTGTGAATATTAAAGGAGAAAAGCAGAACATTTAGTTTGATGCTATCTTGTCCAAATCTGGCCAATATGCAAACTATATATTAGTAATTTAATAGGCTAGTGAATTATCAAAAATTTTACTTAAAAGATTAACAATCTGAATATCTGAATGAAACATGTTTCTTTGGTTTAAAAGAATAAAGAATAAATTTAAGATAGTCACGAGACAATAATTTCTTTTCATTGGAGTTTCATTCTTTTTTCCTAAAATAACATTGTCTTTACCTGACGATTAGAAGAGTTTTCATATTGGGAGCCAGTATTAAAGTGAAGCATCTGTAAGCAAGACACAAGAAAGAGATTATCAGAATCAGTGGCTACTAGAATAGCTTGCGAGGGCTTTTAAAATACTTTTTTCCGCCGGGCTCGGTGGCTCAGCCTGTAATCCCGTGCCTTTGGGAGACTGAGGTGAGTGGATTGCCTGAGCCCGCGGGTTCGAGACCCGCCTGGGTAGCGAGACTTCATCTCTACAATAAATCAAAAAATCAGCTAGGCGTGGTAGCGCATGCCTGTAATTCCAGCTACTTGGAAGGCTGAGGCGGAAGGATCGCTGGAGCCCAGCAGGCGAGGTTGCCGTGGCTGGGAGCGGCCACTGCACTCCAGTCTGGGCGATAGATTGAGACTCCAACTCAAAAAAAAAAACCAAAAAAACACTTTTTTCCCCCAATAGACTTATCTAATTGTCATTCTAAGTTATTTACTGTCTTAGAGCTGATTCTCCCCGTGACTTCAAATAAACATCAATAGAGTGAAAAGATCAACGTGTTCTGGTCTTAATTTTTATTACATTTTCTTCCTTTACACATTCTCTTCTTTGTCAGGTTCTCCAAGATTTGGGAGTTTGTGTTAATTTACATAAATGTAATAATGACATTACTTCCAACTAAATCATGGTTATCTGGTGGTCATTCCATACACGTATGTTAATGCCACATTGCACACCCCTTCTGATTTAATATGAATAAAAAGCATATTTAAGCAGGTGATCTCTAGGTTTCAATATAGTCAACGAAATGCACCCACAATTCTCACTACCACAATAACATAACTCAGAATACCTAATGGACTATTTGTGATGTAAAGAATGATTCAGCCTCTTCTTAAATTGACCTGACAGACGTCATTTTAACTTTTAGGTCAATGCAGATTAGACCATCAATTCAAGTGTTCCTTTCATATTTATTTAATGATTACTTACCAGATTTTTCCTTTTAAAAATAATTGTGGAGACATGAAACCCATCAGTGTTTCCAAATAATAATTATTCCTCAGTTTCTTAATGTTTTACTATATATAGAAAAGTATTATTTTACTCAAATAGGTCCTTGAAACACTATATTATCATCATGTGAGCATTTAGAAGTCTTTCTCCACTACCCTCCTCAACATATGTTTTATACAGTTTTCAATATGTAGAGCATTTCTTAATTTTTTAGTTATTGATAACACAAATTCATAATTACTTGAATTTGAATGCATGCCTTATTTTATCCAATAGATTTATCTGAGCCCATAAACTCAAGTTATCTCTGATATTTCTGTCTTATTCTCTTCAACTACACATTGTCTTATACAAAGGAGGCACTAAACAGTTTTAGTGAAGGTGGCTGTTTATATTGACCAAATTTAAAAACTATATTTTACATATAAGGCATAATTTTAATGAGGAAAAGATTGTATCAGTCCAATTAAGGTTTTTTTCAATGCAATCAATATGTATGATAATGTTTTTAATTAATCATACCATTATTTTTGTCACCAACCTTCCACCACCTACTCTCTGGTCATTGTGGAATCTTGACTTGAGATCACACTTTAGTGGCTTCTAATATAAAAAAGAAACGGTTTTTCACCCAGATCTGTTTTCTCCTTGAATTCAAGATTATGTTTTCAGAGGCTGATAAATTTCAAATGCTTCAAATTTGGAGATTATTATATTAAATGAATTTAATTTAAAGAAAAACCTGTTATACTTATTACATAGTAAACTTGAAAGTTTAATATTTTTCAGTTTAGAAACTTCCTTATTTATGCTATTAAACTTTTTAAAAATCACTACTATGTCAATGATTTTGATCAGCTTTAATTTTTATTTTTTTGAGGCAGGGGTGACACTCTGTCACCTAGGCTGGAATGGCATGATCATAGCTCACTGCAGTCTTAACTTTCTGGGCTCAAGTGACCCCTCCAGTTCAACCTCTTGAGTACTTGGAACTGTAGACATGCACCACCACACCCTGCTAATTTCTTTTTTAAAATTTTTTTGTAGAGATGAAGTCTCACTGTGTTGCCTAGGTTGGTCTTGGACTCCTGGACTCAAGCAATCCTCCCTCCTTGGCCTCCTAAAGCACTGATATTACAGGCATGAGTCACTTCCTCCAGACAGCTGATCAGTTTTAATTCTTTACAAGTGAATTTTATTACATCTGTGAATGATTATGCATGACATGTTTTCAGTCTATGAGAAGATTCAAAATGTTGAACTAGAACTTGCAGTGACTGTTCTAGAGATCCTTGGACAATTCTGACTCAGCAGCCTCTATCAGCATCAGCATTTGCCATGTGAAAAAGCTTCCTTAGTCTTTCGATCTATGGACATAATCAACGTGTCGCTGTGAGTACATGGTACTAAAAGATCATACCAGTCTGCAAGAAAATGTATGTATGTTACAATAAAGAAAATATGCTGAAAATGTAAGGTGTCTTTTAAGTTTCAACCTTTCACTGTTTCATGACAGTCTTGTTTCTTTGCAACATCTGTACACGAAAATGAAATAAGCCACCCCTCACTTCCCAAATCAGAAAGAAAGAGTATAATTGGTTGCCATCACTGTCAATCATGAGATGTAGGAGGAAGACAGGTCACATCAATGGAGAGAAGCAGTAACCACATCATGTCCACTGAGCTTCTCCGGTGACACATTGTTTTGTTGGACTCTCTTAAGATGGAAGTGCAGGAAGGTCTCCAGTTACATCCTGATACTTAAAATATTTCAATAAGTGAGATATTTTGAACAGAGAGCTAAGACACTAATGAAGGTAGTATATGATATTATCTTAAATATCAATAAAAGGACTTATTTGAACACTTTTTTGACTGATGCTTGTTACTTAAACCTCTGGAGAGTTTCCAGAGTTCTGAATCGTTCATTGGGTGCCTTAGAAAATAGAAAACCACATTATAATTTGGAGCCTGGCAAGGTTATATAAGAAAGACTTTCCTGTCTTTTGGTCAAAAGAATAGAAAAACTTCTAGAACGTTCTGGCAAGTTTGCCTTAATAAGCAAATGAATTTAAAAATTTTTGTGGGTAAAAATTTTGGGGCCGGGCTCGGTGGCTCAGCCTGAAATCCCAGCACTTTGGGAGGCCAAGGAGAGTGAATTGCCTGAGCCCGTGAGTTCGAGACTAGGCTGGGCAAATTGGCGAGTCCTTGTCTCTACAGTAAATCAAAAATTAGCCGGGCGTGGTGGCACGCGCCTGTAGTCCCGGCTACTTGGAAGGCTGAGGCGGAAAGATCACCACAGCCCAGCAGGTCGACGCTGGGGTGACCATGAGCATGCCACTGCACTCCACCCTGGACATCAGAGTGAGACTTCAACTCAAAAAAATGCAACATTTTTTTTTTGAGTAAAGTTGGAGATTACTCTCTTCTAAAAAATAGGTTTTTTGCTGAAAATGGGTTACTGATTTGGTATTCTCTTCATTTCCTCACCCCAGGCCCCTTCTCAATATGCCTATTGAAGGAAACTTAAAAATATAACTCAAAATCCTGAAGGAAAATGTGCCTTGCCCTTTAAATGGAAAAATGCTGAGTGCCTATCTTAAGAAAGGTCCTGAAACAAAACCGAGCTCCCCCATGGCAATCATGGTATTAGCTCTTGGAATTCGAAATTGATGAAGTTTCCAGCTTTACTAAGCATAAAAGTAGAAAAATATTATACTGAAAATATTAAAAAGCAGCGGACTTAAAAAAAATCTTAGTATACTCAAAATGGCAGTGCCTTTTAAAAGAATGTCACAAACACATAATTAATCTGTCGGCTTCCTTTAAATGTATATAAAGGGCTAAAATCCACAACAATAATTAAAATAAACAAACTTTCAAGTCATTTTCAAGAAAGGAGTGCCGGGAATGATGACAAGATCCTGATATCACAAACATAAGACTATTTTAGGAAGGACTGAGTGTAGAGGCTGGGAACAACTTATGGGGTTTCAGTCACCCAGGCAATTTTTTTCTAGGGATCAAAAATAAATGGAACTGGAATTAAAGAGGGGATGAACAATTTCATTCCAAGCCTAGAAAGTTCCTCTTCACTCTATTTTGTCCTTTACTTTAGAGAATAAATGATGTCAGCCTTCGAGTTAGATCAACTCAGACAGGTACCACAATTGCTAGAGGTGAAGACAGGAGGAAGGCATGCTAACCACTGAAATGGACCCTGCACCTGTCTGCCTCCCCTCCCAGCAGGTATGTCAGGACCACGAACAGGGCTGTCCAAGGCCCAGCACAGGGTCTTCAGTAACAGTGACCTTCTAGCAGGAGGACTTACATCTCAACCATGCTCCCACTATGTTGCCAGACTCCTCAGTCAGACACTGCAGAGGGGATAGTGCTGACAAATGGGTAAAAACAAAGTGGGCCAGATTCCCAGTTTATATTTGGTCATACCAAAACAGAAAGGACCTGGTGAACAAAACCAGTGGCAAGTCTGTGTGGTAAGAGATATGTTAATTGACTTGATTAACTCTTTCTTGCACTCACAAGATTGGAAGTTGCCCTGGATAAGTCAGTGAGTGAGTGAATGCGGAAGCCTAAGACATTACTGTATGATTCTCTAGACTTTATAAACATGGCACAGGCTACACTACATTTATTTTTTAAATTGTATCTCTCAAATAATAACTTTTTAGTATACTAATAAATAATTTTCGCTTACTGTAACTTTTTTACTTTATGAACTTTTAACTTTTTTATAGTTTTATTTTATTTTATTATAAAGATGTGGGATACAATTTCGGGTTAGGTATACAAACATTGATTATGCAGGTACCCTTGTTGATGAGGTATGCCCTTCCCTCCTCTAGCAGTTTCCCTCACTGCCAATCCCACCTCCCCCCACAGTTTCCCACTACTGCCAATCGAAGCTGGACAGGATAAAAAATGTGGTACATATACACAATGCAATATTATGCAGCCATAAAGAGGGAAAAACATATAGACTGTGCAGTATCTTAGATGGATTTAGAGTTGATCATACTCAGTGATCTATCAC